CTGGGGCAGGGGGACCGAACCCAGAGCCGGGGGAGGGGGACCGGCCCGATACCACCGGTACCGGCCCGGCTGGGGCAGGGGGACGGGGACCGAACCCAGAGCCGGGGGAGGGGGACCGGCCCAATACCACCGGTACCGGCCCAATACCACCGGTACCGGCCCAATACCACCGGTACCGGCCCGGCTGGGGCAGGGGGACCGAACCCAGAGCCGGGGGAGGGGGACCGGCCCAATACCACCGGGACCGGCCCAATACCACCGGGACCGGCCCGGCTGGGGCAGGGGACCGAACCCAGAGCCGGGGGAGGGGGACCGGCCCAATACCACCGGTACCGGGCCGGCTGGGGCAGGGGGACCGAACCCAGAGCCGGGGGAGGGGGACCGGCCCAATACCCACCGGTACCGGCCTGGCTGGGGCAGCGGGACCGAGCCGCGGGACGGGGGCCGAACCAGGCGGGGGAGCTGGATCAGAACCGGGGGGGAGCCGAGGCAGGGGCTGGCCCAACGGAACCGGGATCGAACCCGAGCCCGAGCGGACTGGGTTGGTGCTGCCGAGGGCACTAGCTCCAGGCTGGAACTGGGGGGCAGGGGACATGGGGGGCAACCCAGTGTAACCAGGGAAAGCGGGACCAAGCCTTGGTGGACCAGCAACTCCAGGCTGGCCCGGTGGAGGGGACATGGGAGAAAGGAGAGCTGCTTGGGATAGACCCCGGGTTTCAAGGGGAAGGAGTGTGGGTTAGTGGAAAGAGCGGAGAACTGGGATCAGCACCCTGGGGTGCTACTCCCAGCCCTGCTACTGCTTGGCAATGTGACCTTGAGAAAAGCACTTGCCTTCTCTGTCTGAAGTTTCCCCATCTGTGAAATGGAGCTGATACTTCAGGTACCTCTGCCAGACATTCTGGGAGCCACGTTCATTCGTTCTTAAAACACTTTGAGATCCTTGGTGTAAGTGCAAATCAATATCGGGCTCTGTTTCCCTAGCGCAGTTGCTGAGTTCCCTCTAATGTTTCCCAGTGTGGGATAAAGATACCAGACTGCCCAGAGAGAGAAATGGGATTCATGATACCATTCAATTTGCAAGCCATTTTCGGAAATCCTTGTTCTTCTAAAATGACCTTCTTTCTTTTTCTCCTTGGATTCTTCAGCACTGAAGGAGGATCTGGATAATAAACTCTTTGGACAGCACCTTGCCAAAGACGTGATCCTGAAAGCAGTGACTGGATTCAGAAACAACCCAAATCCCAAAAAGCCACTCACTCTCTCCCTACACGGCTGGGGAGGCACGGGTAAAAACTTTGTCAGCCAATTCATCGCAAAGAGCATTCACAAAGCAGGACAGAAAAGCAAATTTGTTCATCTCTTTATAGCCACGCTACACTTCCCACATGATCATCAGATTACACTGTATAAGGTAAGAGAGCAAATTTTAACTTCCCCTTGGTGATATCAGTAAATATTAATCATTAAAACTCTACACTGTGAAATTAGATTGTTCTTGGTATACAAATCCATAGGTGTCTCAAGATTTCAAATAACAAACTCTTGTATCCAGCTGTTTCTGTGTATTTTCAAACATTCACTGACAAGTTCGTGGAGGTGGAATCTAAATAGCCCCCTGCAGTGCTAGAAACTGGAATACAACAGCACTGAGTTAAACGCTAAGAAATGGAAAGTGAAGCAGACAAATCTGTTTACTCTTGCTTTTCAGTGTTCCTTGAAGGATTAAAAGTTACTTCCTCTCCTACCTTCCCCTGGGGCTACCCTTCACGGGTCTTTTTACAGCGTTCACTGTTGTGAAATGTCCTCCGCTCAAGCTAAATGAGGTGACTGTAAGGAGCAGTCATTTCAGAGGCTTATAAGTGACTGATGCTGATCACCTTGTTTATTCCCTGCAATTTTCATGAAAAAGATAGTCACAGACTGAAGGTTACGTACTCAAAGCATCTTTACGTGTTTACAACGGAACATTTCATGAATCGATTTTTGGTGGTTGTTGTTTTTTATTATTATTAGTCAAGTAGATGGTAGAAGTAGTACTGCAGAAGACATTTCTTCCTTTCCCCTGGATGGTCTTTTCTCTCTTCCATTTGAACCCTGCTCTTCATGCTTTGACTGCTCAACTGAGGTTGGAAATAATGTGCTTTATGGTGTCTCTCATCAAATAACTGGAACAGGATTCACATTCTAGCAGCATGGGGAGGTAGTGGTCATATTCCTCCCTTCAGGAAGCTGGATATAATCAGAGCATTTAAAGGATCATTACTCACACCCCCTCCCAGGTGGTTTTTGCGCTCTCTACCAATGGGACCTAGTTTTTTTTAATGTGTGTTTCTCGTTTGTTCCAGGATCAATTGCAAACGTGGATTCGGGGTAACGTGAGCGCCTGTGCCAGGTCCGTGTTCATATTTGATGAAATGGATAAATTGCACCCTGGCCTCATTGATGCCATCAAGCCATTCTTAGACTATTATGAGCAGATTGATGGGGTGTCCTACCGGAGAGCCATCTTTATCTTTCTCAGGTTTGTGGTCTGTCTACTGTGGCAAATCCAGGCTCACTCGCGGTCACTGTGGTATGTGTCTTGGCCACTCAGAGCTTCCAAGCATCAGCAGGGATAGAACCCAGATTCTTCTGTCAAAAAGCATGTGCTATCTGAGCTAAAGAAGAAGGTCCATTAGTTGTCTGCATTGCAGGGCCTATGATACAGTTGAGCAATTCTGCCTCCATCCAGCAAAGGACTGTAGCGCATAACACCTTAAAGTGAGCCGATCTGGTAGTCTCGTCTAGTAATAGCACGCTGCTATACAGCAGATTGGAGATCAGATCCTGAATCTGTCCCTCATTCCATGTGCTGGGAGCGTTGCACTGGTATCATACTTCACTACGGGGTGGTGGAGAGACCACTTTGCATCACTCAGAGGGCCCACCACATGTGCCGAGCTGATGATTTCTTTTGAGAGGGAGCTACATGACCATTTCTTCTGTGCAAGAGGTACTGTGGCTCAGAAACAACGCTGTAGGGACAATGTGGAATTTAGTCCTAAATGACTTAGGCATTGGTTTAAGGCTTTTTATTCTTGTGACATGCTTGCTGTGCAGACAAACATTAGAACAGACAAGTGTTAAATGTAATCCTGCTAGAGAAGAGATGCTAGACTCTTTCTATCTTGGGTCTGTACTAAACTCTTTCTCTTATGAACAGTAATGCAGGTGCGGATTTAATTAATAAAGTGGCTCTGGACTTCTGGAGGAGTGGAAAAGACAGGAAGCAGATTCAGCTGAAAGACCTGGAACCTGTGTTATCTGTAGCAGTCTTCAATAATAAGAATAGTGAGTTACTTTCCCAATGAGTTGGAGGTTCTTTTACTTCATAAACACAGAACATCCTCGCTCGGTGTGTGCTGCTCCAGCTTGCCTCTTTAACCCATGTAATATTGTTGTACACACACTCCCACTCACTTAGGCCCAGATACCACTAGGCACTGAGCACAACAATTCATTGATTTCACTGGGTGCTTGGCACATTTCAGGAGGCATGCTGCAGCTCTCAGGATCAGGTCCTCACCCAATGGAATGTTTGTTTCAGGGAGAAATTATGCCCAATGTTTCTGGGGCTGGGAGACTCTAATGCACTAACCATTCACCTCTGCAGATTAACCTGAGTTTATAACCTAACTTAGGTCCCAGCGAAAATGATGTTAGATGATCCCAGCCTAGTTCTTAGAAGATAGCTGCCTATCTGATAACTAGGGCCCTACCAAATTCGTGGTTCATTTTGGTCAATTTCATGGTTATGGGATTTTAAAAATCATAAATTTCATGATTTCAGCTATTTAAATCTGAAATGTCATCGTGTTGTAATTTAGGGGCTCCTGACCCAAAAAGGAGTTGTTGGGGGAGGTTGCAAGGTTATCGGGGGAGGGGGGGGGCGGGATTTGCGGTACTGCTACCCTTCTGTGCTGCTGCTCGCAAGGGTGCTGCCTTCAGAGCTGAGCTGCTGGAGAGCGGCGGCTGCTGGCTGGGAGCCCAGCTCTGAAGGCAGAGCTGCCGTCAGCACCAGCGCAGAAGTAAGGATGGCATGGTATGGTATTGCCACCCTTGCTTCTGTGCTGCTGCTGGCGGGGCGCTGCCTTCAGAGCTGGATGCCCGGCCAACAGCCGCCGCTCTCCAGCCGCCCACCTCCGAAGGCAGCACAGAAGTAAGGGTGGCAATACCACAACCCCCCTAAAATAACCTTGCAACCCCCCTAATTTGAGAAACACTGGTCTTCCCCGAAATTTGTATAGTATAGGGCAGCAGTTCTCAAATTGTGGGTTGGGACCCCAAAGTGGGTCACAACCCTGTTTTAATGGGGTCGCCAGGCCTGGCTTAGACTTCCTGGGGCCAAAGCCTGAGCCCCTCCACCTGGGCATTGGGGCTCAGATTACAGGCCCCCTGCCTGGGACTGAAGCCCTTGGGCTTAACTTTGCCCTTTCCCCCCTCCAGGGGACGGGGCTTGGATGGGCTCAGGCTTCAGTCCCCCGTCCTCCCTCCTGGGGGTCATGTAGTAATTTTTGTTGTCCGAAGGGGGTCACGGTGCAATGAAGTTTGAGAACCCCGGTATAGGGTAAAAGCACACAAAAGACCAGACTTCATGGTGGGAGACCAGATTTCACAGTCTGTGATGTGTTTTTCATGGCTGTGAATTTGGTAGGGCTCCACAGATAACTTAGTAAAATCAAAGACCTCTGCACAGGGGAAGACCTGCAACTGGACCAGCAGAGGGTGCTGCAGATCAGGAATGAAGTGCACTGACAGAACGGTGTTTAGAAGATTCCTGCTTTATGCTTGGTGCAAGCTAATGCCATTTATAAGTAACAAATATTAATCAAAGTCTAAATCTTACATAATGTCCCTAGTGGTGTGAGACCTAGGTGCAATGCATGGGCCTTTCGTGTTTGGAAGTGTTGGGGGCTGTTCATCTGTCATTTAGTAAAATCACCTACCTAGAAAACAAGGACCAAGCATTTATTGACAATGGAGGACAGAACTGTCATTAAGATGTTACATTTGTTCTCCCTGCCCATTTAAGCAACCTCCTGTCTGATGTTTTCTAGGTGGCTTGTGGCACAGCAGCCTGATCGATAGAAACCTCATTGATTACTTTGTCCCCTTCCTGCCCCTGGAGTACAAGCATCTTAAGATGTGCATCAGGGCAGAAATCGAGTCTGGTGGCAAGAAAATCAACGAGGCGATCGTTGACGAGGTGGCCAAGGAGATGACATTCTTCCCAAAAGATGAGAAAATCTACTCTGATAAAGGCTGCAAACTTGTGCCGCAGAAGCTGTTGTTTTATTGGGAGAGGTTATGAGCAATATGGAACTGAGGTGGAACAAGGAACTCTATGCCCTTTCCTCGCTGAAGCACTTTTAATGGCATTTTGAAATCTGTCTCTTTGCACTTTTAATATTTTGGGACATGTGGCAGGGATCCTAGGAATGCCTGATTTTTCTTTTATTTTTTTAAACCCCAGTGCTCTTCCTTAAACGGGCAGTACCCAAGTGTTGCCTTTTTAATCTGGGATAGACTCTAGAAATGTTTGAGCATAGCATTCATCACTGGATCCAGCCTTCACTGCATTGTATTTTAGCAGCTGAGATTGTTAAAAATTCCATCCTCTCCCTCCAACCCTCTCTACTAGACAACTGGAGTAAAATGAAGGAATCCTTCCGTTTGGCCACAGTCCCTTCCTAGCATATGGAAGGTCCAGTCCTATTCCCATTGAAATCAATGGGAGCTTTGGCCTTGACTTCAGCTGGCACGTCCAGGGTCCATGATAATGGCAGCAGGGTTGAGGCCTTGATACTTTGCTAGTTCAAATGCCACTGTGCTGGAGGGACTCCTTGTGCTCGGAAGATCAGTTCTCCAGGGATGGAAAGGCAGGACCTTGGTTCATTTCTGACTCTAAGCTGTCTTCATGCCTCCTGCTCTGGTGATGTGGAACGTTAAGGTGAACTCAAAGAAATCTTGGGTTGGGGAGAAATTAGTTGCTTCCCTCCACAGTCTCTATCCCAAAGACTCTCTATTCTTTCCCCTCCTCATACGAAATTTGAATCAAAGGGAGTCCAAGTGCCTGTGGGCTTGGCTGCCAATGGGTATTTCTGTCCCTTTCCGGGTGGGGGGGTGGGAACCGTTCACCAGGGGTTTGACTGCTACAGCACCTCAGGCAAGTGTCTGGGGAAACATTCATGAGGGTTTGACTGTTACAACTTCTCAGGTCAGTATTTGTGCACAAGGGTGGGCATGAAATCCACAAGGTGTTACATTCCCTCCAAGCCACAGCCACGTAATCCAGCAACATCCCCCTTCCCAGACACACCCCTTGCTTGAATGTTACCTGGTAGTAGAAATGATTTTGAATAGTCTATTTTTGATACTATTTTATACTAGATTGTTGAAGTGGAAGTACAAAATCTTTTCCTACAGAACCAGGAAGGGAAAGGGGTGGATGGGAAATATGGTCAAAAACAACCTCCCGCCCATCCCAGCCTTATTTTTAATAACATTGTAAAATTAATGAGAACCTGCATCCTTCATGGTCAGTGTGAAACATCTTGTTCCTAGCAGCAAGGTGAAATGGGAACCTGCAGGGTTAGGAAGCTGGGAGAGGATCAACCTTTGCCCATCTAGTAAGGGTGGAATTTTCGTATCGCAGCTTACTCACCAGAGACTCAACTTTCTAACTCTCCCCCCCCCCCTACTCTTCCCCAGATGTGAGATGGAAGTGCCTTTACATAAATGGAGGATAAGAAAGCTTAACTTACACATATTAAGTGAACTACATAGTATGTGCAGCATGATACCAGTGCAGCTAAGACTCATGGGAGGAAGTTGATTATTTTATTATGTAGTTGCTGAATTAACTCCTGATATATTGACACTTGTTTTAAGATGGTGTGCAAAACTGCTTTATATTAATGTCTCAAATCAAGCCTGTTTTTGTTCAAACTACCAGCAAGAAAGCTTTAAATGTTCACATTAACTTCTGAAATTGGAGTCAGTTACACTTTTTTATAACCCTGCATGTGGTTTTGTCATAACTTTGACAAACTGTTTACTCTGATGCAATCACTTGAAGTTAACACTAGCTCTTAACCTTGGGACATTGGACTGTTGCTTTGATGTGTGATGTTTTACCTTTATTGGTAACTCTTCCTCAAAAAGGTTCTAAACACTGCATCCCTAAATGTCTGGTAGCTCTTCCAGCTCTGAATGTAAAGTACTCATGCAGTTTTTAAAACTCTAAATGTCATAGCTGCAATAAATGTCTTTCATCCTTCAGCTGCCTTTTGACTTATTTAATAACTGCCAGCTGGTAGACACTACCATTCTACTGCTCAACACCTAGGCATTCATGCTGTGGTATCTCAGGTTCCTTCTGGTCAGGTTTGTTCTAATGAAGTCAGGCCATCTTTAAGTAACAGCTGACTTACCTGCTCCTTCCCAGGGTAAATAAGGTATCCTTGTAAGGATAGACTAGACCTCCCTGTAGCTTTTGGTTGAATTCAGTAGTTAATACAGCAGGGTGCCCCAGTGCAACCACACCAATGCAGTTTGCAAAAGTGCCATTCAGGAGTATAGAGGTGGAAGGCCTTCCTGGGTCAGAAAAGTAATGCTCCTTTCAGATGATAGACCTGAGGTGGGGATTTAGCTGACAGGGTTGCATTTTTACCTGTTTCCAGCAAGAGTGGTTGGAAGTTTGCTCTTCTCACAGCAAGTCTTCAGCATTCCTGCCAGTTTTTTCTATGATGCAATCTGTAGAAATGTAACTTGCCACATATCTTCTGCAGCATAGGATGTATTCAAGCAGGATCTTGGTCCTAACGCTGTTACTCTGACCTGACCAGGTCACTTGATTTGTGTCCCAACAAGCAGTTTTCCCCACTGTTACAGTGTAAGTAGTGTGGTAGTACCTGCTGGAATTTAAACACCCTATCCTCTAGACAGCAGGTGGTTAAAATGCCAGCAGCCCAGTATAAACATCCTATCAGTAGGAAATCAGGAAATTAGTGTTCTATACAAGACAGGGCAAATGCTCTTTCCTCCCTTCCCCACAGTGCTCTCACTGGGGTAGGAATCTAACAGCATTAAGTGCTTTGAATTCACTAATGGGTGGAAGTGCAAAGTATTACTTGGCAGAGTTGCATAATGTTCTTCACTATTGAAAGTGAGAGGTTTAGGATATTGTGATATAAACGAGAGCCGGATTTCTTGAACAGAAACCACCAGGGACAGTGATGGAAGTTTCTTGCTTCCCCTCTCTGCTAATTGCATCATGTCACTATAAGCTTGTAGAATGTAATCCTCATAATGTATGTATTTCAGAAAAGCCAGCAAATAGTGACTGTTTGGAGCACTACAACCTTATTCCAGCTGGTCTGCCCTGCAAGTTTCAAAAACTCAGGCTCCTGGTGGGTTTATGAAACCAGCAGGTTAAAGGGAACCTCTGAGAATGAGCTAACCGATTTAAGTTAATTATATTATCCAAATGTAACAAGAACAAACAGGAAAGGCTTGAATCCTGCTGCTTCATTTCTCTACAAAGGTGCGAAAAGCAGTACACACCAAGTGCTGCACTTTAACTGTTCCATGTGGACACTGCTGGAATGAATTAAAAGGTATCTACTTTGCATAAACATAGTCCTCTTCAAACAGGACTACATTAATGTAAACTAGGTACAGTGTCCACAGCTGTTACAATGCAGCACGCTGGTGCCTGCTGCAATTCACACACCGCTGGTCTGCCCTGCGGCACAATGTAGACATAGCTAAGGCCATCATCACTTACTGTAAGTAGTCACCCACATTAGTGACATCAGTAAGAAGTGGGCAGACAGAGGAAGTAGGGTTTTAATCTACTCTATCAGCTGGACAAATCCAGTCCATGTTTTAACCACCTTTAGAATACTGTTGAGACTACAGCATGTGGGAGACTGTTCCTCTTACTAGGAGCCAGGAGCAGGGTTTGCAGTAGCATAGCGTTAGAAAGTTCATGCACAATCCCAAGCAGTCTGCCCTAATTGCTTGCTTCACATTGCAAACCATAATGACTTAGCTAATCTTCTTTAGCAATGGCTAAAGAACCATTTCTCTCTCCACTACCTAGCCCCTTTGTATCCTAGCTGCAAAAAGTGAACATGAAAGTTTGTAATCAAGCACAGCAGAATGCCTCTAACCAGAAGGCAGAATAAGCGTGGTAAGATGGTAAATTTACATACAAAGGTAACCATGAGGCAGTCCCTTCAATATATGCAATTAGCAGAGAGGTACCATATACAAATTTTACTGGTGAGAACTTTTATTGAGGGAATTATAAAAATCTTATTTTGAAATTGAGAGAGCTAGAAACTGGAGTGAAAAAAGTTAGTGTTGGCATTTATAAATAAAACTGGCAGATGGGCTGCAGTAACTTTGGCATTACTGTAATTAAATATTTTCCCAGGTAGCGTTGAAGCCGTCTTCATCCCTCTCCACATGGCACTGCCTTGTAAGGCTGGGATCAAAACTAAATCACACAAGAGCTTGAAAGGGGTGAAAAATTAACCAGACTGCTGCTTTCTGCATTTAGAAAAGTTTGAAACTAAAGAAAATCTTACAGCAGCCACATGGAGTAAATAGGATTTAACAGATTCTGCCTTCCATTTACTCTGATTCTATGAAACAAACTCCAAACACTGGATTTTAGTAAACAGCCCTTTTCTTCATTACCACAAAGAAGGAAAAGGAAAGACTGAGTGTCACCGCTACACTTCACAGCAAACAGCCAAAGAAGGAACTAACTCCATTACAGGGACATAGTCAATGACTTTGCTGCAGTTCCTCTTCTTACTCAGCCTTGTTTCACATACTGACCTTCTCCTAATGCAATTTGGCACCAGAAGGAACAGTTTACACCCTTGTTTTTATAAGAATGACACTACATCATGCTAGGTAAAAGGACATACGGGCTCACTCCTGCACTTTGGTTCTAATACAGCTGGAAACACCAAGGGTGGTTATTTTTAAGAAAACAAACAAACCTGCATATCCACTTTTCAAAGGACAGTCTGGGAAATACCCCACCCACAACTCCTAGGAATGGTCTTGCAGATATAAGGGCCTTGATTAAAATATTCTGTACCATCTGGAAACCACTTCTACAAATTAAAACCTAATTAAAACCAGATCAAAACTGCAGGTCTAATGTACATAGCCGTGTTCCACTGAACAATTGTAGCAATCAACCAATCCATGATTTGAGATAAACCATAGGCACTGTTAGACAATGCTCTGGAAGGGGTGACTGCTCCATGCACAGTTCTTTCCTAACTTCATGGCACAGGACTGACATCTTTTGAAGATATGACTATTACAAGGCTCCCCCAGAATAAAAAGACAAGTGTATTGCCACTTATTTACATCAGGCAATTAAATGACAATGTTCCTTTTTTTTTTTTTTTTTTTTTAAAGTGCTTGACAAATGAAATGTTTCGGTTTCTCCACTTCGTGATTAGGTTCATTTTTTCCTTTGCAGATTACAGCTTCGTAAAACATTATAAGTCATAGTAAAAATCCAGCTTGGTGAACACAGTTTTGCATCCTTTATCAGAGTAGATTTTCTCCTCCTTGGGGAAGTAGGTCAACTCGTCAGCTACTTTGGTTATGATTTCTTCATCCACCATGTAGCCACGTGATTCAAGTTCAACCCTGACACACATTTTCACGTGTTTGTACTCCAGAGGCAGAAAGGGGACAAAATAATCAATGAGGTTTCTGTCGATCAGGCTGCTGTGCCAAAAGCCGCCTGCAAAAAATACTGTTGGTTAGTGCACCTTTTGTGGAGGTTGACAGCTAGTAGGGAGGGGGGATATATTTATCACAACTCCCTGCTACCCACCCTAAAGTTGTTTACTCTTGGTTTTTATTCTTATCACAATCACTTCTACTTGTATAAGGTCACACATTGCCACGGTATGAGAGTGGCTTCACTTTAAGCCAAGCAGGATGGACACAGAAACATCATATATTGGAGCTGTTGCTGCATGTCAAGGTTTCAAGGCTAGTGGCACCTCTGCCCTCTCCCCAGTCTCTGAGTGCAGCCCCTCAGGTGTTAGGCTCCAAGCCTTTACCTGTCCTGGGGCAGAATCCTACAATTCTCCCACTTTTACACTGGGTCCTGGCTACAGTATCTGGTGGATCAACCATGCTTTCCCTAACGGGTCCAACTGGGTTCGGGTACCTGTGGTTCTTCCCTTCAGGAGCCCGTGACCAGCAGTAAATACAGTGACCAGACAGCCTTTTCAAACCAAAGTATTGTTTAATCTTAGCAGTAGGAATAAAGCATAACATAAAGAGGATTTTAAAACAACAAAAGGACCGTGCACATGTCTATCTTACATATGGCTTACCATCAGGATGAAGTTTAACAAGGACAAATGCAAAGTGCTCCACTTAGGAAGGAACAATCAGTTTCACACATACAGAATGGGAAGAGACTGTCTAGGAAGGAGTACGGCAGAAAGGGATCTAGGGGTTATAGTGGACCACAAGCTAAATATGAGTCAACAGTGTGATGCTGTTGCAAAAAAAGCAAACGTGATTCTGGGATGCATTAACAGGTGTGTTGTGAGCAAGACATGAGAAGTCATTCTTCCGCTCTACTCTGCGCTGGTTAGGCCTCAACTGGAGTATTGTGTCCAGTTCTGGGCACCGCATTTCAAGAAAGATGTGGAGAAATTGGAGAGGGTCCAGAGAAGAGCAACAAGAATGATTAAAGGTCTAGAGAACATGACCTATGAAGGAAGGCTGAAAGAATTGGGTTTGTTTAGTTTGGAAAAGAGAAGACAGAGGGGACATGGTAGCAGTTTTCAGGTATCTAAAAGGGTGTATAAGGAGGTGGGACAAAACTTGTTCATCTTAGCCTCTAAGGATAGAGCAAGAAGCAATGGGCTTAAACTGCAGCAAGGGAGATTTAGGTTGGACATTAGGAAAAATTTCCTAACTGTCAGAGTGGTTAAACACTGGAATAGACTGCCTAGGGAGGTTGTGGAATCTCCATCTCTGGAGATATTTAAGAGTAGGTTAGATAAATGTCTATCAGGGATGGTCTAGACAGTATTTGGTCCTGCCATGAGGGCAGGGGACTGGACTTGATGACCTCTCAAGGTCCCTTCCAGTCCTAGAGTCTATGAATCTATGAATCTCCCTGTCTTGGAAACCTAGGAAGGCTTTACTGCTTCAGACCCTCCAGCAGGTTCTATGAGTGTTTCAGTTTATTCCCCACAAACAACTACCTGACCTCTCACCAGGGAGTCTTTTAAATTGTCATTTTGATTCCCAGGCTGGTCAAAACAAGCTCTGTAATTTGGCTGGAGCCAAGGAAGTAGGTTCTTCACAGTTAATATCTCAAGTATTTTTTCTTAGCCCCCTTCAAGTGTTTACAAGGGCATGTTTTTATTTCCCAACCGTCTGCTGTTAAACTAAACTAACATGCACACAGTAGATATCCCAATATTTACCCAATGCAGCAGAGTGGGTAGAATTAAATCAAAGCGATTTAAAACTACCAAAGTTTAATCACGATGTAAATCAGCAAGCAGGAAAACTTGATTAAATCATCAGTTTTAATGGAGTTTTTCATTTGTACTTTAGTTACTTTCCTAAAGAAAGGAGGATTCTTATTGGTTGGTAACCATTAAAACAGGTTGGTTTCCAATTGAATAGAGCCTTTACATTAAATTTGGTGCTTTTGTTGGGGGTGGGGGAAGCTAAGAGGATGTGCTATAACCTATACACAGGTAAGCAATTATATAGCTTCATTTATATTTATTCAGATTTTTAATTTTTGTATTTTTTATTATACCAGAAATGGTGAATGATACACTTATTTACTAAAAAAAATAAATGTATTTTTGATTTGTGTCTAAAAGTTTATCAAAACGTTTTGCATTTAAAATGGATTTCTTAAACGAAGAAAATACTATCCGTGGTTAGTGAATTTAACTGCTTGTTTCACGTCACCATCTCCTTCAGGATTGTAGAACTAGTACATGTCATCTTCTGACACAGATTGGAAGAGGAAAACAAGTTTTCTTGTTTCGTCAACTTCCATTGATTTCTTATCGTTGAGTGAAATAGTCATTGAACTGATCTAACTGAATAAAGTAAAAAACAAACAAAACCAACTCTCTCTGCATCTGCTGAAGAGGCTACTGCTGTCAAAAGCTGGTTTAGCACTTCAACACACACTGGTTTGGCCAGTGACTTCCACCAGTTCAGTGGTTTGACTTTCTTTAAAATTTGGCAGCCACCATGTAATGCTTCATATTTTATATTTAATTTAAATTTTAATAGATTATAGTAAGTTTAGGCCTTAACATAGGTTGTCATAACCAGATGTTTAATTTTAAATAGGTTTATTTTAAACAAATTTTAAATAATTTGAACAAAAAGGTTTAATTTTTTTTTAAACCATCTATTTATCCATACTGTGTTGTAGACACAGTGAACTTCTCAAGAGCCAGGTCACCTACAATATTAATAAATTACAGAGCAGTCCCATGTCCTTCACACTGCACCATTCCTCTCCATCTCAAATCAGCAACCAAACAGCATCAGTCTGAATACTTCATGACTATACCATGGCATGTCCCTGCCTGAAAACTGGAGTTCACACTGAGCTGCAACTGCTGCTGCCACACCAGTTCACATCAACTCTAGCCCTGCCACTTTGTTTCTCTCTCGGTAAATAAACCTGAGTGCACTTTCACCATGGTAAAAGCAGTTCCTCTCTCTCTCCCTAAGGCTGCTCAAAACAACATCAACCAACAGATGCAGAATCCATCGTTTAACACACCAGTCACTGAGTGCATTTCTTAGTTTGTCATCCCGTGGACTGCTCTGTTGGAGAGCTGTAATAGTCTGGGTCCATTGTTAGAAGGTTTATTTCTAAGCTATTGTTAAAAATAACTTTGTAACTATACAGCTATGCCATTATAATTTAGGGAAAACAGTAACTCAGGCTGGCAATCCATCTGCCCTCAATTCTGAAGAGCAAGGAAGGATTGGGGTGTGGCGTTTATCGTGCAGCCTCCAATTATGAGCCAAAGAAATCTATCTACAGTCTTGGGAAGGGGAATGGCAACCTTCCTCATCAGAGATAGTAGCTCAGTGCCACAGGCAGCAAAAAGATGCATAAAATAATCCCACTTACAAGTTGCATATAGTCTGTTGAAGAGTCAAACTATGTAAAGAGTGAAATATTATGGCAATCCCATGATTACCACTGGGACTATTATAACTGAAACATTTGTTTCTTAGGTGTTCTCCAAAAGAGAGGCAGTTGGCAAATACCAGAAATAGATGCAGAATCACTCATTCAAAGAGAAGGATTTTTAGCCACGGGAATAATCAATATTACTCACTATTCTTGTTGTTGAAGACAGACAGAGACACTCCAGCTTCCAGGTCTTTGAGTTCCATGTCTTCCCTTTTCTTTCCACTTTTCCAGAAATCTAATGCCACCTCTGTTATCTTTTCAGCCCCCGCATTGCTGCATGAAGGAAGGAAAAGGATTTCAGCTGGATGTGTTTCACAGAGCATTCAGTTTACAGCATTGCAATTATTTCACAGATGCTCCTTACCTGAGAAAGATGAAGATGGCACGCCGATAGGATACTCCATCAAGCTGCTCGTAATAGTCCAAGAATGGTTTGATGGAATCAATGAGCCCTGCGTGCATTTTATCCATTTCATCAAATATAAAGATTGACCTGCCACAGGCGCTCACGTTTCCCCGAATCCATGACTGCAACTGGTCCTATGTTACACAAAAATAAAGAAGAATGCAAAGTCCATTTGCATCAATGTCACGTTAAAGACAAAGGAAATATGTAGATTTTAGATCACCGCTTTCCATTCAAAAGCAGTAACTTCAATTGTACACCTGTAATTGTATGACTTTCTTGATCAAAAACTGGTTAAAAGGTCAACAGTAAATAATGATAAAAAGAACAGTAACAGAAATGCATTCTGGTTGTTAAAATAACCTTAAAAACCCAGGTGAGTTACCAGAATCGGTCTGCCAGGTATCCATGAAAAGGACTATACTTCAAGCCAGTGAATTAACATTAATACAAAGCAGTGATCTGGCTTGTAGGACAAAGTGAAGCCCACTGGGGCAAACTATTTTCCCTGGTGCTAATACTCTGCAGTCATATAGCATATTCCATCTTTAGATCTCAAAACATTATCCAACTAATGAATGTTGCACAAATTGAGTCAGCGAGAGATTAAGTGACTTAGCCAAGGTCACATAATAAAAATCACAGGAACAGCTAGGAATAGAACCTAGAATCGTAACTCCTAGTCCCGGGCTTTAACTTCTAGTAAGTAATTAACTGGAGGTGATTAAAAACCTTTCAAAAGTGTAGCTTTGTTCAGGAAGGGGGTTAACCTCATTTAAGTATTTTATTATATGGCACAGGGGTTTACCCACTGTTAAATGTTATGTTTAAGATTAGCAATGAGAAAGAAAAGGAACTGGGACAGTTGATTTAAAACCAACAATGACTCTGCTGATCACCTCCAGTGATGATCATCATTTTACCAGTCTCACTATTATTTGGTTCCTGCATATGGGTGAGGCAGTGCAGGGAAGACTCCACTGCCTGTGCGATGGATAAAGAGGGCTTTAGTTTCTAGCACTGTCCATGTGGTAAATTTCACAAGCAGTTTTTCTTTGAAAGTGAAGAGCATAAAGATCCATTTCTCCCACTGCATTTAGGAAAGCCTCAGCTGGGGCAGGACAATAGAAAGCTTTACAAGGGGAAATATATAAACTAGAGAAAAAGTAGAATTCTCCATTTTAAAAGCTAATGTATAGACTGTTCCATTCCTTTAAGTCTTCAATATGCATACATTGTGTGTTTACAGGTTCAAAACACTGTACAAACATTCACTAATCAGCATAATACTCCTACTAGGTAGAAAAGTTTCACCCTCATTTTGCAGGCAGCAGAAGAGACTCTCTCACACAACCCAGTGGCAGAATCGGGATTAAAATTCAGGAACACAAGCAATGGTATTTCTCAAAACTGTGCTGCCTCACATATCTACCTGCCTAAGGTACTTATATAGCCTCTGTTACTGGGGTATCTCAGCATTTCACAAGCTTTAATGTATTCATGCTCACAACATCCCTGTGAGGGACAAAGTACTACTAGCCCCGTTTTTCAATTGGGAAACTGAGGCAGGGAAAGAAAGTCACATGCCCAAAGTTACACAGGAAGCCTGTGGTGGGATACTTGGGTTCAGTTCTCTGCTCCAAGTCCCATGTTGATGCCCTACCAGTGTCCTTTCCCTCTGGATAGAAACATGAGAGGATGCATAAACAATTTTTTTTTTTTTTACAGGGAAATCAGGGGAAATCCATCCCTAAACATTAGAGTTTACACATTTGCACTTCAGACTCAGCATACATTGTATTTTACTGTTTCAGATAAAAAGTCTTCGCTTGCTAGTACTGCCGATCTCATAACCTTTATAAATTAACAAGAGATAACCCCCACAATCACTTATGATGAGCTCCAAAATGTACTCTTACCTTGTACTGCCCAATACTATGTGCATGGGGAAAATGCAAAGTAGACACAAACTGATGGACATAATTGCTGTTCAGGCCTCCTTCGTAGATACTCTCTGCAATTATTTTACTGACAAAGTTTTTGCCAGTACCAGTCCATCCATGCAAGGAGAGGGTGAGAGGCTTTTTGGGGTTTGTATTGTTCAAGAAGCCAGTCACAGCTTTCACAATCACCTTCTTCACGAGGTGCTGACCAAACAGTTTCTTGTCCAAATCCTCCTGCAGTGCTGAGTGAAGGAGACACCAATCAGATAAGTAGAAAAGAAGGGGATACGTTTTAGTGTTTCTAACCTGCTTCAGAACAGAGGACCCTTTGATAACATTATCCAGGGGTGCCCAAACTTTGCTCATCCCAGGGCGGCCGGGGATCAAAGAGCTACCCTGACTAGAACAGAGCAATCAACTTTCTCTTTAATATATAGATATGACCAGTGGAGACTACAGACCCTAGCATGTGATGCTCTGGTTCCAGCTGCCAAACACTACCCCATGTTCCTGTGGAGAGAAACATACCACCAAGTCCCCCTTTTACTCCACCTCCTTCCATCTGGAAGGAGCCACACGTCCCTTTGGAAGAAGGCAGAGCCCAGTCCTCCCTAGAGCCCCCCAAAACAAGCCCATAGGCCCTTTCCTCTAGCGACAGCCTCCCTGCACCTCCTTGGGATCCTACCTCTAATCGCCTATCCCTGCTCCTCGCCACCTTCCTCTGCCTGCTGCCCCATATCCCTCTCCCCAGCGACCCTGCCCCTGCCCCCCTCTCTCAGGGTGCATCTTCCTAGGGCCCCCCCATCCTTCCCCAGCTTAAATAGCCCTCAAGCTCAAGCCCGCCCTATAGGGACAACTCTCAAGCCCTCCCCAACCCTGTACTTACCCCATAACTGCCACCCCCGCCCCGCCCGTACCTGCTCCCGCCCGGGCCCCCTCCCGCTGGAGGCAGCACTCCCTGAAGTAGCAGTAGAGGCGGGGGTAGGAGATGAGGCCGGTGAGCGCTGAGGCGGCGCCAGCCAGCGCCAGCCCGAGGCTGATGGGCTCCACCGTCTGCACCGGGCTCAGCAGCAATACAAGGCCCAGGGCAGCCCCCAGCGGCCCCCGCAGCAGCTTCATACCCCCTCCGCCAGGCCACCACAGCCCCGACCCTGCCAGCCGCCACCCCCACCCAGCCCCGGCACTTCCGCATCCGGCCTAACCGCTTCCGGCGCCGCCATCTTGGTTGTGGGCAGAGGCCTGGGCCAGGGGCTGAGGGAGCGGGCGTGAGGAGGCGGCGGCCATTTTGGAAACAGAAGCATTGACTGTCACGTGACCGAAATGTGCCCTCCCCCTTTGAACGTTGTGGGCCGGTCACGTGTCACGACACGCGCTCAAGCCTGCAATAACTCAGATCGTCGTCGTGACGTAGTATCCGGAGCCATCTGCCTTAATACCACCGCAGCGTGTCGTGACGTGGGTTCCGCGTGCACAAGCGGTGCCCGCTTGTCCCGACCCCGGCACAAGCACAGCAGCAGGAAGCCCCTGGCGCTCTTGGGACAATGGCCGGTGGCCACAGCGCCCCTGCTGGAGGGGCACCCAACCAGCTCCTCACCCCCCCCCACTGTCAGCCTAAAAGAAACCCCCCCAATGTTCTGTTAGAGCTTCTCTGGCAGGCTCCTAGTTCATTCGGGGCGGTCTAACAGGTAGAAGCCGGGGTGGAAGGAGGGCAAGGCTATTCTATAAACCCTTTAAGACCCAGCCCCAGTGAAAAGAGTAATAACTAATGCTTTTGGTCTGTCTCCTCAGTCACTGCTACTTGATTAAAGCCCATTTACATCCGCTCATGCTAAAAAATGAATACAACAGTGGCAGTGCTTTCAGCAAGACCCATTCATTGCACTTCCTATTGCAATGAACAGTCTTGTCAATTTGTTTAAAATGGTATTTTCATGCTTGCTAAATCAGGTGGTTTTACATATCAATGCGCTGTTGAGCCCTGGGTTAAAGTGGTCTTGAGCATCACTAAAATGAACTGGAAACCTTTGGAGTCACACGTTTTGTTTACCAGGCAATCAAACATGATTTACAGCAAATGCAAAAATGTGACTCAATGATAAACCAACTCTTTTTCAGCTATAAATATGAAGAGAGGGTGGTGGTTCTGTAGCTGCACACTTGTGACTGTTAATGAGGTCTGGAGTAATGTTTCTAATTTAACGGAACAATATTTGTTAAGTCATCTTTCGAGGAAAAGATTTAAATATTTGAAATCTCCATGCTATTTATGCATACTCTAAATGCTAGGTGATGTACTATTGTAATCTCTATTTATTATAGATTTTATGTACATAACAAAGATATAGACTGGTCATATTTTTAAACGGTGTAGGAGCTTGCCATCTGTGTTGCTTAGACATAACATTTAGTGCTGTTCTAACAAACAACAATCAACTATTAGATGACAGGTCAATATACCAAAACACAAGATCACAGAACTTTTCACCCCAGGACCAAAATCACTTAATCATTTCCCCCCATTTTACAGATGGCATTAAGCACAGACATTAAACAAAGTGTTCCAGATTACAGAGTCCGTCAGTGGCAGAATCACAAAGCTGGTATCTAGACTCTCAGGGTATGTCTACACAGCGAGTGGCAGCCCTCAGCAGCTAATCTCAGAGTCCAGATTGACAGACTCAGGTTTGCAGCGCTTGTGCTACAGCGCTCAAAATAGCTGTATAGATGTTTAGGCTTAGGCTGGAGCTTGGTCTCTAAGATCCAGCCTGAGCCCAAACGTCTACACAGCTATTGCTAGTGCCATAGCGCAAGCCCGAGTCTGTCAATCTGGGATCTGAGAGTCGCTGCCACGGGCTATGTAAATGGACCCTCAGTCAGATGTTTGAAGTGCTAGACAATATTGCCTCTTGCAACAATTTTCAGAGCTAGGCTTTTTGATTTGTAACAGCTACAGGAAAAGTATTTTTCTCCTCCCATTTTACATAGATAATTTTAAAATGAACACAAAGAAAAATGTATTTGAAAGGTGTCAGTCCAACAGTAGTGGCAACCGAAATTCTCAGAGGTGAGAAGGCAGTCCAGTCTCAATGCCCTATTCACTCATTGACTTTTTCTAAATTGAAATTGCCAATAACCATGCTAACTGTGAGCGGGGGTAATTTCTGATATGAGCATGTGCCCAACAATTGGACCAACACCATCAAACTCATTTGAACAAAGACAAACAGCTATCAGCTAGGAACAACGTTCAAGTAGTACTTTGGCTGATGACACCATGAAGATTGATTTGAGCAGATGAAAGCCTATATGCCATTATCAAACTCCTGAACCTACCAGTATCGTTAGTATTGTAGACAGGCTGACAAACCAGTCATTTAAATTTTCACTGTTGTATACATCACTCTAAAAATTTGTTTGACTTGATACAGATAATTCATGAAAAGCATCCAACAATGTTGGCTACAATGCGTTACTAAAGCACTGGATGTGAGTTGGCTCATGATCCCAACTCTCACAACAGCTGCTGCTACTTGTTCTAATTTGATAATTTAGTCAATTTCACACAAATTTAGAAATGTTTAGACTAATATTTGTTTTAAGTACATCCAGGGCTTCATTACAAACGGCATGGGATGAATCTAGTGTGCACATTACTGAAATAACAGAATCTCACTGATAACGAGTTAAAAGTTTTATTTATTTTTTAAAAGTTCAAACTCCATTTTCAACTTAATTTTAATTTATTGTACAGAGAGTTTCTGGAAATATACAGCTGGTGTTTGCTTCCAATTTGTTTGGCTTTCTGATACAAAATCCTACATCATCCCTATCTAGAAAGGCCTCAAATATTGGAAGTGAGATTCCTCCCACCCTCAAAATAGTTACAATAATGATTTCTCTCATTCTTGGCAACTGAAATAAAATGAAAAAACCCTCATTGCCATGGAAATAAATCCATAGCGAGAAAAAGATACAAACGCAATGGGCACCATTTAAAAAAATCTCAAACACATTAATTGTTCAGGCACCTACAGTAACTGCTGTATTTCATAGAATATCATTTCCCTACACTGAAGATAAGAAATCCTGTCATACTGCAATCCCTGCAGAGTAGCACACATTCAAGATCTTACATGGCACCCACTCTAACTGGAAGAGAAGCTGAATACTGCTGTGTGCTGAACAAATTCCTGTATTATCTCAGACTCACATACTATATACAATTTACGCCCTTTGGAACTAACAAGAAGTGCCTTTTTATGAAGTTGCTTTGGAACCTCAATCTGGCAAACCAGCTTTAAACCTTTACTATATGTTTACAAGCTGAAAGCATTTGTCTTTAAAAAGTTCTTTTTTTAAGGTGAAAAGATCTATGAACAAGGTTGACTTTACGCTAAAATAAATGCCAAACAGGAAGTCAACATATTTACAAAAGAAAAAGTTTTATAACAAAATAAGTTATATACAAGTCACCACGGGGAAGGGAGATTTCACAATCACTGTGCCCACTAATTCACTACAAGTTTACTGTGAGAAAAATCTTGTGGGTAATACTAAAAATCTGTAGGAAGTGATCCCGCCCACTTCAGGAGTTTTTACACAACATCTTGCACTTAAAAGCTCCAGCAAAATGTTTGGTCCATACTGTTCTACTGAGCAGATTTCAGTATCGTCTGTTCATCTTCTTGAATTTCTCATAGTGGTAGTCATCTGTTGCTTTCTCATTGGGTGGGCGCTTGCGATTCGGTGGGGACCCTTGGAAGGAGAGAGAGACACACACCTTATTTCCTATTCTGTAATTAATAAAGAGGATAGCGCAGGGAAGCATCATTCTCCTTCACCTCCTAAAGAGTTAGTCTAATGACCAATAAACCACCTGGCCTGCAGCACCCCTGCTATTCTACACTTGGGCCTCCAATAATGCCAATGTTCTTCAGACTTGATTCTTTATTAGTCCAAATTCTTCTCTCACCCTCCCGCCCCCCTTCCAAAACAGGTCTGCCCAATGCACTTAAAATCCCCACCTTCAACATCCCCCATTACTCCAGCCTTGGACCTCAGCTGAGCAGAGACTGATAGCAATGGTGTGCAGCCAAGCATGGGATGGAGAGCTAAAGTGTGAACGGGTCATTTTCTACATGTAATCCTGACCCTTCACCTATGATGGGAAACAGCAGGAGGGACATCTTCCATCCAAGTTGCTTCAGGACTCATCTAGCAGGGAGCACATCAAGAATGGCATAGGCATCACCTTTCCCTTGAAGATCAAAGGCAAACCACTCTACAATTCAAGTCCTTCCCACCAGTTCAGGACACCATGCCATAGAGGGCTAGAGGAGAAGGTCATATCTGTTCATGGATCTTGGATAAGGAAGACTGGATACCTCCAACAAGCTGGCCATGCTTTGTGTTTAGTACTCACGCTCGGGTTCTGGCTTCTCCGTATCCCCCACTCTCAGTGGACGGGCTTTTGGTTCTTCTTTATTCCTCCTCACTGGTGCACTCAGCTCCTCATGATAGACTGGAAGAAGAAACACCAAATGGTGAATTTTAGAGAGTAGCAGTGTTTAGATGTAGAATCACAGAAATATACACCTGGAAGGGAACTCAAGAGGTCACCTAGTTCATCTCCCCACACTGAGGCAGGATTAAGTACACCTAGACCATCCCTGATGGATTGTTTATGTTTAATCCCAACAGATGAAAGATATGTGATAAACTTTAGCAGAAACACAAATGGAAGCCAGGAACAATCACTATGATCAGCCTGTGGCTACGGATATTGAATGAAGGCAAAGTGATGGGACACTAAAACTTTCAACAGTTCAGAGGATTTTTTTTTTCTGGTTTCTTTCCACCTTTGCATCTGACCTAGCTACTGCTTCATCATGGTCCTGAGACTCTCCATTGCCATGAATATTAATCTGAAGTCAGCCATCTGGACATGGTTAGAGACATTAGGAGGTTGCCTTTCCTCCAGGTCCTGTACGAGAGGCGGTCTCAGAAATGAACTCTCTTCTCTTGTCTAGCAATTCTGTTTCACCTGAACACTGGTCTGTTCTAGCATCCCAGAATGCTCTCTCTAGTCCAGTAAGACAGACTTTGTAATCACAGGATGGTCAGGATTTTCCATCATACATCCAAGATGTCA